CATTCTAAAGGGTGTGCAGTAGCATCTCACTGTGGTTTTAATTAAAAAAAATAAAAATAAAAAGCACCACCTTTGATCTCTTAGTTCTTTTTCCTACATGCCAGGAGTTTAGGCCTAGTCCTCATTCTTATAAAGTCAAAGTTCTTTGGCACTTAATGGCCAACTTAACTACAGAGAGAGAAGCCACCTCTGAAGAGTATCTATTTGTCTTTGAGACACTGCAAGGTGGAGTTCTTATTGTAAATTAAAATGGCTGGAAGCCAGATTGTACGTATTCTTCCTTCACGCTCAGCTTTCCAGTTGCAATGACCAAAGACAGGTCATGAGGTATTCCTCTGCATACCCATCCTGGTATAGCACTGGTGCTAAACTTGACTTATCCCATCATTACTGCCATCTACGTAGGTCCCAATGGTGACTTACTATTAGAAAGTAAACCAGAACCAAGATTTTATGCCTGTGCTTAGAAACTATTTGCTAGAATATCCTGCATATTGCTTAGGATGCATGCTGTTTCAAGTAACAGAAATTAGTTTAAGTAAAGTGGGTAAACCTTGCTAACGTAATTGCAAAGTCAGAGTTCGGTAGCATTCAGAGCTGAAATGATTCAAGGGCTCAATGATGTTATCGTTGATGAAGTTTCTTTCCACCTCTTTTCTCTTCCTTTTAGTTACCATCATTCTCCAAGTGGCCCCCCTTGTGGTCACAAAATAGTTGCAAACAACTTCCTGGCTACATAGGAGTATTCCCTCAGTCTCTATCCAAGGACAGGACTGTTGCTTCCAAGAGCTCTATCAAAGGAGTAAGCATTAATTTATTTTTATTTTTATTTATTTATTTATTTTTGTCCTTTTTGAGACCGGCAGCACCGCGCTCAGCCAGTGAGCGCTGTGAGCATACCGGTCATCCCTATATAGGATCTGAACCCGTGGCAGGAGCGCTGCAGCGCTCCCAGCGCTGCACTCTCCCGAGTGCGCCACGGGCTCAGCCCGTAAGCATTAATTTAATCATTCCACAATGTATACATATATCAAAACATCACAGCATACCCCCCAAATATATAGAATTATTATTTGTCAATTAAAACATTTTTTAAAAAGGGAAAATATTTATTGAGCACCTATTGTGTGCCTTGTGCTTTAAATATATTTAATATAGGGCCGGCCCGGTGGCGCACTCGGTAGAGTGCGGTGCTTGGGAGCGGGGCGGCGCTCCGCCGAGGGTTCGGATCCCATATAGAGACCGTCTGCTCACTGGTTGAGCTCAGTGCGGGCGCGACACCGAGGATTGCGATCCCGTTACCGGTCACGAAAAAAGACAAAAAGGAAAAAAAAAAAAAAATATATATATATATATATATATATTTAATATAATCCTCACATTAACCCCAGCAGGTAATACGCTTGCTCTCCACACTTGCTAGCTGGATGAATTTTATCAAATTGCTTAACCTCTTTGTACCTCAGTTTCCTTATCTGTAAAATGAGGATAATCTAGTATCTACTTCACAGGGTTGTTTTGAGACTTAAGCAAGATAATAGATAGAAAGCCTTAACACAGTGCCTGGCATACAGTAAAGGTCCAGTATATATTAGGTATCACTCACAAAAAAGTGTAAGCAACCAAGCAAGCCCTGAGTCACATGACCGTCCCTGAACCAAGCACTGTGGCCAGGGGGTGATAATATGCTGATTAGCTTAGGCAGAGCCACATGCTCCCTTCCTAGAGTCATTGCGGGGTAGGACTCCTCCAGAGTACCTGAGCTGTAAGTGGGATACTGAATAAGAACGAGGGCTGCTAGATACTAAAAGGAGGGAGAAAAGATGTTGGGGAGGCAGCTGCTAGGTCTGCTACGTCCTGGGTTAATTTAGCTCTTCGGAATATGCTAACGACAACAAAAAATTCCGCCATGGACATGAAAATTTTCTCAAAGTGTATCTTCCATGTGGAATGTCTGCTCAGTCAACAACTTTCTTCCCATTCACCTTCCCAAGCTTCTGAAAAGTCATCACCACTATGATGCTAAGCACTTTCCACCAAGCCCTATCCTCTTTTATATTACACTACCTATTTTATATACTCTGATTTATAACAACATACATTATAATCTTCCCTATTATCCTAAGCCATCAACACTGGAACAGTTTTCTTCCTTTACAGCTGTCTGCTTACAATTCACATTTGGCTGCAGAATGTTGCCAGGAGAATGTTTACACAAGGCCAAGTTAACAAATGCCACCTTTCAGAATGCACTGGGTATGTGTGTGTGTGTGGGGGGGGGGCGCCTGGATCCTGGCACTATATGCCAGATTACTTTTTTTGTAAAAACCCATCTTTTCAATTAAATCTCAATAAAAGCCAATTTTTTTTCTGTGAAAGCTCATCTTTTCAATTAAAATAATAATTGTTTAGAGGACAAAAACATGAACTTTAAATTGATTTTCTACCCAGGGCTGCATCTTCAATGAGCATTTCTAAATGTCTGTGTTCTACAGAGATATTTTATGTACTTAAAATCTTTTGTGTGCTAATATTCTGAAGGGATTTCCCTGTGAAGAGAGCAATTTAAAAATCTAAAAATAAATGACTGATATTGAACATTCCTGTCTCTAGATTTTCTTATAGTTTTCAAATATTGGCTCAATATTTATCCTTTGGGGGTGTGAGTTGGAAATAGCACTGGAGAGGGATTAATTGCCAAAAGCATTTTATTGACTTGCCATAAGTAGGTAAATACAATAAAAAAAACAAAACAACAGTAAAAAAGTACCCAACTCCATGAAAGAGGATATGAAGGTTTTGGAAGGCCTGAGAGGTGACCTGGGGACGGCCAGCACAGACAACAGAGACGAGTTTAAGTACATTGTACACTATCCCTGTAATCATATTTTTCAAACCTCCAGAAACCAATTCTTCTTGTTATGTTGGCTGTATTGTGTGTGCATTTATTTTTTAATTCTCTCTTAAGAGAAAAAATTATAGCAAACTCACTTTGAAACTTAAAACTTCATATGAACCATGGAGAATCATTTTGTTTTCTAAAAATCCACACTTAGGGCTGGCCCGTGGCTCACTCGGGAGAGTGTGGTGCTGATAACACCAAGGCCACGGGTTCAGATCCCTATATAGGGATGGCCGGTTCGCTCACTTGGGAGAGCGCAGTGCTGACAACACCAAGACAAGGGTTAATTAAGATCCCTTTACCAGTCATCTTTAAAAAATAAATAAAAAATAAAAATCTACACTTAAGGTCTCTCAGCATGCAAAAGAGGAAATAATTTCTTCCATATTAAAAATAAAAGTTCTTTGTTGTTGTTCTGGTGATCTCTCAGGGTCACGTTACTGAAAAACCACAAGTAGCAAGATAGCAAGTGCCCCTGCATGGACACAAACCAGTCATTGTTCTTTTGAAACAGATCTCTTTCGTGCTACCGGTTCAAGAAAGACATAAAGCTGTAGTTTATTTGGAGAACATTTCAAAAGTGGTTTATGGTGTTTTTCACCCCAGAAGTTACTTCCTATAAATGTGGCCATGATTATAGAAATGACACACACATGCTCCCGTGGAACATGAAAGCAGGCTTCTTTCTGTTTCCAGAAACAGACCTTGGTGGGTTACTGTTTTTCTGCCTTTTATGGAAGCTAGATTGTAATATAAAGTACTTAAAAATCCCACAGGGTGTGTGGAAGGTGATTATGTACCTGTGAGTGTGACAGGGAGAGATGGACAGAAAGGCAGAGCACACACTCTGACTAGTTATTTCAGCTTTTCTGCAAAATCAGCAAGTGGGAGGCTGTCCTGGTGATGATTGGGACTCAGCTCCAAAAAGATCACAGCCCCAGTTGCCTGCAGGTCTGCATTGCGGATGCCCAACCTTCCATTGCTTACTGGATATTGGGCTCACTGTGGCTTTGTGTGCCCCCAAAACCCACCCACTCCCACACATCTGTACCTACACCCACCTCATTATTGGAGCCTCCTCCCCACCACTTCTTTGGACCTAGTTTACAACCCAAGAATGTTTTTCATTGGTACTTTCAAAGGTCTGGGGTAGGTGTTATTAGACACTGGAGAAATCTCCGCTCTCCTACATAGGCAGAAACAGAGTTGGATAAGGAATTAGAATTAAAAAAAATAGGTGGAGCAACACAAAAAACAAACAGAAAGAAACAGCACTGCTGAGCAAGTAAGAGACCAGAGGCGGAGGCTGTGGGGAGTCATGTCAACAGAGTGCATGGTTTCAACTCCCGTTCACTGTCATCAGCTGTGCTAACGTTTGTGTGGTTTTTTGTTTTTCAAAAAAGCTCATGTCGTGTCAAAAAATCACCCAAGATACACGGCTGTACCAGTAAGAACCGTCCTGCCTAAAAACACTTCCTCTAAGTGCACACCTGCCTTGCTGGTCTGATTTCTTCCCACCATCTGATAATATCTAATAACAACATTACAATATCTTCACACTGAAGATTTGAGATATTGAGACCTTTTGGTCCAATAGTTTCCACAAAATCTGGTACACATATCACTGTGGTCAGCAAGATGATTTTAAGGTATATTCAAGTATTTATCCTTTTTGTGTTTTTTTTGGTGGCTGGCCAGTACAGGGATCCCAACCCTTGACCTTGGTGTTATCAGCACCACGCTCTCCCAAGTGAGCTAACTGGCCAGCCCAAGCCTTTTAATGGTATATACTTATTCTAATATGTATTAGAAAAAAACATCATGAACACATTGGTCACTGCATTCAGTAGCACCAGTGAGCATGAGCTCATTATTAATCTCCAAGGCCAGACCTCGTTAAATATTTTCTAGACACTGATGATCTCCAGATTTGGAGAGATGACTCTCTCCTGCCACCCGTCGCTAGTGATTGTGGACAAGTGTCTCCTGACAATATCACATCTGAGCAGCCCTGAGAAGAGGAAGACTTCTCCATGGTGCCCAGCCTCTGGCTTCAACAGTAGAAGGTCTCCTTTCTCAAATCAGACACAACATTGGCTGGGATTTTTCAACATTTAATCAAAAAAGAATTTGGCGCTTTAAAAGTTGGGTTTACAAACTTGACACATTCTTAATATTAGCAGTTTATCTATTTATACATTGTCTAAGAAAATAAGATTTATGACGACATCAATGAGACACTTAATTCATTATAAGCTATAGCACTTTGCAAATAAGTATTCAATTTAATTATAACAAACCACTGAGCAAATTTAACTAAGTATATAAAAACATTAGTTAAATACAATTCTCTGGAAATATACATTATACCTACAGCTGTTTTTATAGTGAGATTCTTCTTTTTTTTTTTTCCTTTTAATTATCAAAATGGTAAATCACTGAATGGTCCTGGATCTCCATGCTATAAAACTGAAATATGTGTTTCCAGCATAGCAGATGGTGACCAGGAAGGCAAAGAACTGCAGAAAACAAAGCATAATAGAAAGGGTTTAGGGCACATTCTAATTAGTGAAAGTTATCATTTCACCTCCACTGAATCATGCACTCTCAACATTCCCTTGACTCCAGGCTTTCTCATCTAGAACTACTTTATATTGGTTCAATTACCTTCCTTTTCAAACAATTTCTGGCAATGCTGTTTTTATTTTTTGGAACATATCTGGAAAGCATGTAGTTTTGCTCAAATAACCACAGGGAATTCACTTAAGATGAATGTGGTAGCAGTGCAGCTGAGAAAAGTACTGTATATCATTTCTAATTCAGTGCAAGCAAGTTTAGACCTCAGATTGCTACAGGTCAGTTCCCACTGATGAGCGGAGTGGGCCAGAGTAAGCCCCAGCCCCACACGGTGTGTGTGTTGTGAACGGGGAGCGGGAAAACGCAGGCCCTTCTTGAGGGCAGCCACTACCCAGGACTAGCCCATTCGTGTGTGTGTCAACTTAAGTCCAGTCTCACCAAAGCTCATGCTTTTTAATGTCGTGTGCCCATGATCTACCTTTAGAGATTTTCAAATATAAACAAAAGTAAAGAATATAATGAATACCCATGCACCATCAATTGGCTTTAGCCATGATCATTTTGGCATTCCTGTCTAACTGCCTCCCCTCAACCCCCAAATAGGTTCCTTTTGGGGATGGGATATTTTATTTTAAGGCCAATCTCAGGGTAATTCTCTCTTTTTTTGGCTGGCCATGGGGATTGAACCCTGGACTTTGGTATTTCCAGCACCATGCTCTAACCAGCTGAGCTAACTGGCCAGCCTCAGAGGAATTCTTAAAACCAGTTTTTTAAACTGGAAAAGTAACACATACTTATGGCTTAAAAATGCAAACACATGAATTAAAAAGTAAAAGTTCCTCATTCTACTCCCCTCGTTTCCTAATCCCAGTCTCTGGAAGAAACCCCTACTGGGATATATTTTTCTAGGCATTCTCAAGGCATACATAAACATTTCCACTTAAAAAAAGTCAGAATCATATTATGTTCATTTTCTGCAACCTTCCCCCACTTAATAAACTGCAGGCAGCAGAATTATTCTTAGACTGTCTCAAATAATTTTTCTCCCTCAAATACTTATCTTGTTCCAGCCACTTGGTTTTCACTTAAGCAGCCTTTCAACCTCTTTTTACTTCAGGCTGTCAGGAGGCCCCACCAATTTTTAATGTTTTCAAACCATTTAACTAATTGCCACCTTGTCACTACTGCAAGTGGTTCTTTTTCCTGCAGATAACTTTCCCAAGCAGGCTTGGGGAGGGAGGAGGAGGAGGATCCAGGGGGATGAGCGGGCTCCCTTACCGAGGAGGCTGCCCAGCTGTTGAAGTTGTGACTGTCCCTCTCTGGGGAGACAGAAGATGCATCCACAACAGCGGCAGAGAGGTATAAGACGAAGGCACTGCCATTAAAGCACAGTCCCTGGGAAAGATAGAGGGGCAGAGTGTTTAGGAGTGAGGGAGGGTCTGGGTGCCTCCGGACCCCTCAGAAATAGCCAGAACTGCACCCCGGGTATGGTAAGGGGCCCAAGTGGACACCTGGGGAGGGTGGGGGATGAGGCTGTCAGAAGACAGCTGTCAAGCCTTGGCAAGGCAAGAGGAGGGGGTGTACACCAGCTCATATACCAGACATGACCCCTACCCCTGCAAGACACCCAGACCGCACTGTGCCCTTTCAGCCATTTCTCTTTAATTTGTTCTTGATCCTCATCTCATCCAGGGTTCAGCTGTGGTGATGTACTGGCTAAGGAAGGCAAATAGCAGCAGGGGCCACGGGGTGAGATCTGCCTCAGCCCACAGCCCCAACAGAAGCTGCAGCCCTTCAGCATGTCCTTGACATGGGCTGGGAGAAAGCTTCCACCAAAACAGGCCCAGCTGATTTTCTAACCCCAGCTCCAAGCAGGGAGGGATATTTAAGTGAGCTGTTCTGTCCCAGTAGCAAGTTCTTAAAAATAAAAAAGAGATTGTAGATATTATTATAGCCCTTTGGGAACTAATCTCGCTCTTGGCTTCACCTTATTTTTTCCTATTCTTAGAGAAGAGAGAGATGTAAATCCAGGTGGGTACTGGTTTTAGTTATATTTAAACTCTAAGAAACCATACTCTGAAATGTGCAAAGCCTGGTCCGGTCTGAGCACAGGTGAGGGGTGGGAGTGGGGTGGGGTGAAACCAATCACAGAAACAGATATAGGTAGGAAGAGGGATGAATCTCAAGGAGCAGGCCCCCTATGGGGGCCAAAATCATGTCTACCAATCCCTTCTCTGCGATCTTAGATTCCTTAAATGCTCTGAAAACCAAGAGTAAATTCGCAAGTAATTTGGCAGTAAAGGCTGACTTGAAATAACATGGAGCAATGTGGTCTTTATTATCTCTCTTAGCAGGAAAATTCACGTATTCTTGCAGAAACATTAATGTGTCTTATTACAGTGCTGCCCCAGACATGGGAACATGTGTCACATATTGTAGTAAATGCACCAAATGACCTCATTACCTTTCTAAACTTTGAAAAAAAAACCCTTAATTCACATCTGGCTCCAAAATTTCGAGTCAGGGATGTGGACTCATAACTACCTTTAAATTAGTGCTTCCCACACTTTAGGTGCCTAAGAATTATCTAGAAAAACTATCATGATAGATATTCCCAAGTCTTCCACAAAGTTTATAATGCAGTCAGACTGGAGTGGGGACTAAAATTCTGTGTCTCTAACAAGCTCCCAGTGATGCTACTGGTCCAGGAACCACATGCTGAGTAGCAAAATTCTAGGAGGCCCATTCAAGCACCAGAAGCCTATCAGCTGCCTTGGCACAAAGTCCTTGCCTGATGCTTGTCACACTCCTGATCAGCGTTGGGACACGACAGTAAGGACCAACATCTGAATCCCCCAGTCTGTCTAGTAAGAGATTCTGCTGGGCACTGGGTAATACACAAGTTTAGTCTGAGTCTTTAGTTGTTAACAGATGAAAACTTTTTGTAGTTTCCACTCTGGATATTCAGTTAACACCATTTACCCAACTCGCAAATGGTTTGGAAGTTGCAAAGGTGCTTCTGAGTTGGAACAGACAAACACCCCAACCAGAAGTCAGACATGTTGGACCTGTAGCTTCTGCCAGCAGCAAATAAAGTTTTAAAAATATGGCTGTAAACATTTCAAAATTGGGAGAGTTCACACAAACTCTGGATTCTCTTAAAAATAAACAGAAAAACAAAAGATTTAGGAATCCTGGGAGCACATTTCCAGCGTATTTCTTTGTGAAGTGAAGAGTATTCTCAAGTTGTTTAAGATGCTGAGTGTGTCTGAGTGGCAAGAATTCCCCACCCAGCTGAGTCCACTCACTTGTCTGACCTGTCTGCCCCTCACACATGTGTGTGTGCAGCTCCCTACCTGGGGGCTGACAGCCTTGCTTGAGGAGATGAATGATTAAACAGTTCTGGAGGGATTAAAAGTTCTGGTCTCCTGACTTCTGGTTGGGGTTCTTATCTACTGTGCAGGCAGAGGAGGCCTAAAGCAGGAGGAGATCAGAAACACTCTGGATGGAAGTCAAGAGACATGGACCCTTGCTGGGTGTGAATCTGTGCAGTCACAAGATGCCAAACCTCAGTTTCCTTATCTATAAAATGGGGCCATGCATGATAATGATAAATTCCGATAACGCAAGTCAAAGCACTGTAAAAACAGTGACAGCCAGAAGGGGGCATTGTTAATGTTTTAAAAAATACCATTAAAAGCAATATCTAAAATTTTTTAATGTAATAAATCAATGAAGGAGGTTAGGCTTGGAGGAAAGACTATATATGATCTAGCCTGGAGGTCAGCAAACTGGCCTATGGGCCGAACCTAGTCCACCACCAGTTTTTGTAAAGTTTCACTGGAACACAGTACCACTCATTGATTTACAAATTGCCTGTGGCTGCTTTCCTGCTGCAAGCATAGTTGAGTCATTGAGACAAATACAGTATAGTCCAAGAAGACTACAACACTTACTATCTGGTCCTTTACAGAGAAAGTTTGCCAACCTCTGATCTAGACAACATAACTGGAAACTGAGACTCAGGCAAAGGTGGGAACAAAGGTACTGATCATTCCTGCATCCCAGCAATCTCATTTGTGAAATAAGATTGTGAAAGCAGAACTGTCCAACTTCCTCTGTTTCCAAGTTCACAGTCACTTTCTTCAGGACCTACTTTAAGACTCTTCTTTCTCCAAAATGGCATTCTTTCAACTCTCCCACACCCTATGTGTGATTATTCCCACACCCTGTGTTACCATAGTAACTATCACTTCAAAGTACTCTTTTTTTTTTCCTTTTTGTCTTTTTTCGTGTCCGGCAACGGATCGCAACCCTCAGTGTCGCGCCCATACCGGACCAGGACCGGCAACGGGATCACAACCCTCAGTGTTGCACCCGTACCTCGCTCAGCCAGTGAGCGGGAACCGGGCTGTATGTGGGATCCGAAACCCTCGGCGCGACGGCGCACTGTAGCAGTGCGCCACCGGGCCAGCCCTCAAAGTACTCTTTTTGAATCCAACATCCAAATGAGTCTTTCCTTCCCAAGGCCCATCTGGGAAAGCAGGACACTGATTCCAACAAGACAGTTATGGGCACCTCATTTGGAATTACTTGTAGAACCTGCAACACTTTCTTGAAAACCTTAATGAAGAATTCTCACTTTTGGATTTGGGGAAACAGTCAAGAGTCAATCTGTCTTGTGATAGAAGATGATACTTTTTTTCTTGTGGGGCTTAACTTAGCTCTGAAGGCAACTCAGAAAGACCAAAACCAGGTACATCTGGAGCAACGACAGCACTGTTTGAAAGACTCCAACTTAACTTCAGTCTATAACTCACAAGTGGGCTATATTTCAAATTTGACTCATAAGTTAGTTGGAACTGGATATTTGGGCTTAACTTAGCTCTGAAGGCAACTCAGAAAGACCAAAACCAGGTACATCTGGAGCAACGACAGCACTGTTTGAAAGACTCCAACTTAACTTCAGTGTATAACTCACAAGTGGGCTATATTTCAAATTTGACTCATAAGTTAGTTGGAACTGGATATTTTTCTGATATATTGTTTGAAAACAAACAAAAATAATATAACTTTAGAGCTCCATTTTATACATATACACATGTGGTACCACTTGGATTTTTTTTTTAATCATATGGCCACTTCAAGTTCTCCAACAAGATTGCCAATGCTCCAAAGCCAGGGGAACCTTGCCTTCTACTCTATGAATCCTTTTAGGATATGCGTTTGATCTTCAGAATGAAGCTAAATGTCACCTCCTCTCTGAAGAGTTCCCAGCTGTCTGAAGCTAAGGGGACACCTTCCTTCACACTTTGTACATGTCCCTGCTTTTGCACGCAGCACAGGGTACTGAATCTACTTCTCCCTAGGCTGTGCGTTCACCTTTGTTTATGCTGCATGCAGCACAGAGCCTGGAGCAGGACAAGCATCCAATCAACCCTTACTAGTCTTGCTTCCAAATGTGAGGACACCTATTTGAAAACAATAGTTTTCACTTTTCATTCTAGTTCTTTGCACACAGTGTGCTCCAACATCAAAGAGCTGTGCTGTGCAAAGGGTTAAGGCCTCAGTCCCAGGAGAGATTTGAAAAAAGGAAGATCGGCAGAGGCTGGTGCCTTGACAAACCTGTTTCCAGGTGACATTGTTTACAGGGATCTAATAAAATATGAATCTACATAAGTGAAGCCAGCTATTCTTGATTCAGTCTTTTGACAATTGGTTTGCTATTGTGCCTGAAAGGAATTTCTGGACCTTCCACCATGGCCAGTTTCACACTCAGAGGTAAAACACTCAAGAGGTGATTAGATAATGCTGAAATTAAGTGCTGTGTTGGGTTTTTCATGACTTGGCCCACCCCATGTGGACAGAGAGATGATCTTGAATTGATTAGAGGAGGACTAAGTGCCATCCTTCATAGTGGGCACTGGACCAGAACAGCACCCAAGGCTTCCTTACCACCGTTGTCCAGGGCACCTGGGGAATCCTGGTGTAGGTCATTGTTATGTAGACAATGAGGAAGAAGACGGTGAGGACCCAGTAAAACACAGCTACAAACATGACCCAGCCAAATGCAGGGACCCGGAAGTACTCAGTTCCAGCAATAAGTGTCCATACCAGCAGTCCTAGGACCTGAAAAACAGCAGAAGCAGTGGAAAAGAAAGGAGAAAATAAAGAAAAAGAAGGAAATAAGAACAGAGAAAAAAATCATTATACAGAGTGTCAATTATAATTTTCATGCATATACACTCACGACTTAAAAATATAATAAGGGTTGCAAACTCATGTGCCTATGAACACCAGGAGGTAAGATAAACGAACATAGCAGGGAGGGTTGGGACCACAGGAAATAAGAAAACCTAAGTCTCGCTTTAAGGGGGTAATCTCTACTCAGCTCCAGCCAAATGTTGTGGGCTGGTTGCACCAGATGTTCCTTTTTCTTTTCCCAGGAGAAAACAGAAACTCAAGTCTGTAGATGATCATCTTGATTTTTAAATATTGTCACTAAGAGTCTTAGAATACCATGTGGAGTAAAACAACATCCGTGGCTGGAATTTGCTCACAAGCTGATATGTGTCAGGGAAACAAGACTGCAGGTCCACTCAGAGGTCATCCCTGGGAATGACTTGCTCTCAAGGCGTGAACCCTGGGCAGTCCCCATCTGCTACTACTGCTCTCCTTGCAGACGGCAGGTAACACAAGGCCTGAGAGTTTTCAGAAGGGAGAACGAGCAAGGGCCTAGTCCAAATATAGGCACAGCAATTTATCACAGGTTACACATTTATTCCAGCAATGGCTGTCCCACTCTTCACCACTGCTGATGAGCAAAATCAAACCCAAAGCCAAATCCACATCACTCGATGACTAGAGGACCTCATCAAGGAAAAAGGAAATTCATTTAAACTGTAACTGTCTTGAGTCCTGAACAAAGGAAGGCCAGAGCAAGGTATGCACTTACATTCTGGCACCTTCCAGGAGGCACCTTCCAGGACCAGGAGGACTTTATTCCTGAGTCATGAAAAAGTTAGTATCTGAACCACGGGTCCAGGAGACAGCATCAGGAGTCTGGGGTGGGCTCTGGCTGCAAGTCCTGGTATGCTGTGTGACTCAGGACAAAGTATTTCATTTCTATTTTAGCTTTCTTTGTGATATTTGGAACAAAATACTAAAGTAATGTTAATGCCAAAGCTGGGAAGATAGAGTTCACTCATTTGTTTAACACTTCAGCACCTACAGTATGCCAGGCTACTGCAGGATAGAGTGGGATACAAACTGAACAGACTCTGCTCACAGACAACTTCAAGTCCAGTGGGGAGAAATAACTGACAGGTGTGAAAGACACTATGAAGGAAAACAAAGGGTATGATAAGGTCTATAGTGGGGGGACATAATCTTGCTGGCAGGCATGGAAGTGTCAGAGAAGGCCATGCTGAAGAACAACCAGAAGACTAAGAGATAGCAAGACAGGTGGGAAAACAGTGTTCCAGGCAGAGAGCACAGCACGGGCAAAGGTCTGGACGTGGCAAGGGCTTGGCTGCCTTTTGGAATCTGTAAGAAAGTGTAGTAAATTAGGACCTTGGTGTAAAACATTTAGAGAGGTTGGGGAGGGTCAAATTATGTGAACCTAGGAAGCCTAAGGATGTTGTACTTTATCCAAAGGGCGGTGGGAGGGTTTTAAGCAAGAGAATGATAAGATTAAGTTTTATAAGATCACTCTGGCTGCATGTGGAGAACAGACATGTGCTGGGGTAAAGGGTGGGTGGGAAGAGACAAGTTCGGAGACTGCTGCAATAATCCAAGTGGGAGAAGATGATGTCTTCAAGACCAAGAAGTGATTATTGAGCAGCAAGTGAATCCAAGACAAATTTCAGGAGTAGAGATGACTCTAATAAATTAGATATGGGGGTCGGGGTGGGAAAGGAGAGGATAAAACAGAATGACCGCCAGGTCTCTGGAAGGATTTACAAAGTGGATTAGGGTTTCATGTGTTCAGTGGCAACAATGAAAGGGGAACAGGTTGAGGGATATGCTGCTCATGAGCTCAGTGAACACTGCAGGGAGAAGACTTTCAGCACTTCTTTAAGAAGGATGACATCCCATGTAGTGGATTGAATTATGTCCCCCCAAAACTCCCTGCAGCTTGAATTGTGTCCCCCAAGTTTTATGTACTAGAAACTTAGCCCCCACTGTGACTGTTAAGAGGGTGGGAAATGCTACTATGGCAATTGAAAGGGGGAGCCTCGAAGAGGTGATTGGATTGTAGGACCATGCTGTAGTGAATGGATTAAAAACGGTGGTCAGGGGTGTGGTTCTGAGGGCTTTAAAAGAAGGGGAGAGTCTGTCTTTCTCTCTCTCTGCTCCTACCATCTTGCAATGGGAGGCCCCTTGGTCACTGACGCCACCACCAGATGGACATTGGACTTCCCAGCCTCAGAAACTGTAAGCAATAAATTTTGTTTTTCTTTCTAAATTACCCAGTCTCAGTTCTCTGTTATAGCAACACAAAATGGACCAATACATCCTGTGATGGTCATTAAGCCCCTCAGATGGCTTCCAGGGGACATCTTAAACTGTTTCCCAGGAGAAGCCACCTCTCTGTCACAATTTGGATGTTTATGCTGGGGAGCAAGTAACAGGCTCTCAATGTTGCTGTTTCTTCCTCTCTTCAGAGTTTAGTGTGAACATTCTTATGTCTGCTTGCTTGTATATAAATTCCAAAGAAAAGACACCTAATGGAGATGTGTTTTTGTGCCTACATCTGATCTGTGGCAACAAAATTTATCAACAGTGAAGATGCAAAGAGCAGGTGGAATTCCAGAAGTCGCTAAGCCTCACACTAATGGATTTGGGGCCTGAATTCATCCTGACAGGTAATCTATACACATATATTTGACATTCTGTTGCATCAGTAAGAGTGGTAAGAGACGTAACCCAGCATCTGAGACATTTTGGACTTCTTGATTCAAACAAAGAGGGAGATAATGGCCCTTTGTTGATGATTCACACAGGAAAGTGGGTGAAGAGGCATTGAAAATGTGCTCGTGTGTCCCTCCCTGTGATCACAGGGTTTGAGATTTCCAGCACAAGCTTGTGTCCAGCTAAACAGGCTCGACTAACAGCTCTTGGCTCTGAATGCAAAACGTTTTTCATTATTAAAGCAAGCGGAGCCTACTTTCCAGAGCTGCATTGTCTAATTTGCTAGCAGTGCTCATCTTTAGACAAAGGGACAATATTGTTAATGAGCTATCTCTCAAAGAACAGGAATACTTGACTCATGACCTCATCAGCAAACATCATAAAAAGAATGTCTCTGTCAAGAAAAGCATTGTTCTACCAAAGTGAATTTCCTAGGCAGCTGAAATACACTTAGAAGCAAACCTTTTATCTCCCACTAGAACGAATACTGATGAAAATCACTTTACAAGAATGTTATTCATGCCCTGCTGAATGTGCGTGTGTTTAAGACAAACCCTAGGTTTTTATTTGCTTAGACTACAAAAATACTGTTTATTTTTTCCCTGATAAATATTTTTTAGGCTAAGATTTTTTTTGAATGACCAAGCCAAGACCTTAAAAATATTTCAAAAGCGATAAATGCAGGTAAAAAATTAACACAGCAGCATATAAAGAAATGACAATCCCCATTCCTACCCACCAGTTGTAAATTCAAGAAGAACAAATATACACAATTTTGTATCTACCTTTCCTAACATCTTTCCTTGCACTTACAACGACCACCTGCATGTCCTTTTCTTTCTCCCTTATAAATATGGATCGCTCTGTACATGGTGCCTAACTTACTTCTTTTAATCAACAATACCATGGACCTTCCTTCCACGCTACTACATACAGATTTCAACAGTTACTCAGTTTTTCATAATTCATATAACAAGTCCCCTCCTGACAGAAATTTGGGTCTCCTTTATGTCTGTACACAAATGCCCAACGAACACTCTTATAATACATATCTCTGCATATCTGAGTTCCAGGACAGATTTCTAGAAGCAGAATTTTTAAGCTTTAGAGGTACTACCAAATTGCTCTCCAAAAACTTGACACTTACTTATCCTCTCATCGGCGTACACAGGCTATTCACTTCTACCCTCACCAGACTAAATTCCCTTGTTTCAAATGATTAAAAACTCCATTAAAAAAAAAAAAAGCCACACGTTTTGCCTTTCACTACTTTATTTAAATACAGCATAAAGAATACAAATGCCAAGTGAACAGCTTGGTGAATTTTCACTAGCTGAACCTGTGTAACCAGCATGCACCTCAAGAGACAGAACACAACCAGCACCTGGAAATCTCACCCCCACTTCTACTTACTCTTTCTCTCCTCGAAGGGCAGGAACTGTCTTGATTTCTGTTCTCTAGATTAGTTTTGCCAGTTTTTGATCTTCATATAGATGGAATCCTATAGTATGTACTCTTACGTTTGGCTTCTTTCACTCAACACCATGAGTTGACCATGACCTGAATGTAGTTCCTTCATTCTCCTGGCTGCTCAGCAGTGGCTCTCAGACGTGAGTGATCATCAGAATCACCTGAAGGGCTTGCAGACCAGACTGCTGGGTCCCTCACCCAGAGTTTGAGGTTCAGGTCTAGGATGGGAGCTGTGAGTTTGCATTCCTAGTAAGTTCCCAGGTCATGCGGATGCTGTTGGTCCAGCAGTTGCACGTGAAGAACCACGAATGTATATATTCTTGTGTCTGCTTTAACTTGCACTTTCCTGACCAGTGGTGAGAATGGGAGAGCATTGTTTCAAATGCTTATCAGCTACTTATAGTTCTTGCCTTATTTATTGATATGCTTTTAAAAAGCACTTTCTGATTTGTAGAGATTTTTATGGAGGAGGGATCATAATCAACTACTTATGTGGCAAATATTCTTCCCCATCCAGTTGCTTTTTAACTTTATGTGGTCTTTTGTCATATGGAAATTTAAAATTTTTACATAGTTAATTGATTACTCTTTAACTCTTCTGCCTTTTCTTTGGTAGGTTTTTAATTTTAATTTTATTATTTCTTACATTCTAAGATGTCGCAGATCAGTGGGGGGTAGGGGCGTAATAACTTCGTATAGCATACATTATACTGCAGAGCAGTGGGGGGTAGGGGAGAGGGGAGGAA